GGCGGCGACTCGGGGACCCGGCGCGGCCCTCCCGCGCGCCCTCCCGCGCAAGGGACGTGCGCCTCTGGGCGTATTTCCTGGTGTTCGGGGAGGCGCGCAAAAGGCGGGAGAGCGGCCAGCGCTCGCCCGCCGCTGCCGCCCGCACCGGAGGACCCCGGAGTCCGGGGGGGCCGCCCTCGAACCTCGGGCGCGCACGGTCTGGGCGGCGCGTACCTGCCGGGCGCCCATGTTTGTAAACAAACCGCGTGCCTAATTAGCCTGGCGGGGGCGCGCGCAGGAGGGTAGGGGCGGGGCGTCGGCGCGCGCGCAGGGGCGGCCCCGCCCGGGGAGGAGTCTCGCTCGGTCGCGCCCCTATCTACCTACCTCCCCCAACCCCCCACCTCCGGTTCCCACATCAGGCCAGGGCCTGGGCCCCCGAGTTCGCTGTCATGGGAGCGGGCGCCAAGTCCCAGTAGCTGGCGAGGAGCAGGGGATGTTCCCGGCTCTTCCCGGAGACCTGGCCCCCCAGCCTCTTTTCCCATCTGCCCAGTGAGGGGCAGGAATGAGATCAAAGGTCCCTAGCCTGAGGTTCCAGCAGTGGGCCACAAAGGTAAAAACTGGGGACTCTGGTCCTTTTTCTGTATTTTTGAAAGGTTCGGCTCGTGGACACGTTTCAGATCTTATTTTCAGTGGCAGTTCCTCCTGTGTATACATTAAGTTTTTATCCAGCTGTTACTTAAGGTGGACGCACGTTGTGTATATTAAACCCCCATAAAAAGTCAAAAACAAAACAAGTTTTCCTTGGTACCCACTGAACCTGCCAACTACAAGGTCGAGTTTCCTCGTGTGGGCTGAACCCCTCCCAAGCCCCTGGGGTCACTGGGTTTATTTTAGGTTGCGCAAGAGCGCTACGACCGCAAACACACACGTCTTTATAACATTAAAGTGAATGACGACTCGGCTGAGCCCATGCAGCCCCACACCCACCCAGGACAGGCCTTCTGTGCCCGGCTTACAGGTGAGGCAACTCTGGGAGGTGGGTGAAGTGGCCCTGGGTCACAGAGAGCTGAGATGCCAAAGCCTTGCGTCCTGGGAAACACAACTTGTAGGAGAGGCCAAAACCTCCCCCCACCCTCCCCACTGTCCCTTTCCTGGGAGCACAGGACTTCCTACAGCCCCGGATGCCAGACTCTGGCTGGGGAAGACCTTTGCCTTTTTAGTTTACAAAGTGGGAGAAAGTCGAAAGAGGGAAGCGTGGACGGCGAGGACCTGCAGGTTGACTCCTTCGGAACCATCATCCTGGTTGCATCCCTTCCGAAGCCCGAGTTTGTTACTCCAGTTTACAGACTTCTGTTTTAGTCACCTCCAAGGCTACATCCCCTTCCTTCCACCTGGGTCTCATTCTCTTGGACATTCTGGGGTCTCTGGCCATCAGCATGTTCCACCTCACTGCTAGAAACGATCCCACCTCTCTCCTCACGAGGCCGAAACAGAGAGCCTCTCCACCCGGTCTTACGTTGCAGGGCTTGGATGGAGCGCACACAGAGGCCACCCGAACCAGCCAGGCTGGCAAGGCTGCCAACTGAATGCCCAGGACCCTGATGAGCCTCCTCTGCCCTGCCACTGACCTGAGGAGTCCCTCCCAGGAGTAGAGCAGGACCCTGGGCCACCCTGGGAGCCTGGCTCTGATGGAAGGACCTAGGTCTCTGCCTCTCCCTTCCCCGTGCCCACCGGTGCTGCGTGCCCGCTCACCCATAGCCCAGGGAGCTCGGTGGAGTGATCTTCCCTGAGGCTGGAGAAATCTCTGGAGGCAGAATCTGTAGCAGAAATGTGACCGATACTCACATTTGAGCATCTCAGCCCCTGGGCTAACTACCCCTCAAGCCTAGTGCAGGAGCCCCTCCCGGGGGCTTCTTGGGAAGCCGCAGGCTTCCCCAGGCTGCCTTGGGAAGGGATTTGGGTGGCCCTGACTGTCCCCCACACCACCACCAGCCACCGTCTTCTCCCTTCCCAGGCTCTTGTAGCTTCAGCGCCAGAGGTTGGGCCTCCGTGGACTGCTGTGTGCCTGGGGTACAGCCACTTAATCTCCCCAACTGGGGTTTCCTCATCTGTCAAAGGAGGATTAAAAATAGGACGTCATCCTGCAGCTGTGGGAGGGGAAAGACGACGCAGGCTGGGCCTCTGGCCCCTCTTGGTCGTGGCTCACCTCTCTGCCTTGGTCTCTTATTACTGGGCTGTTTATTGGCTGTCTCCACCCTCCAGCATGGCAGCTCCCTGAGAGCAGGGCTCTAGACCCCCAGGGCCTACAATAGGTCTGGCATGTCGTGGGTGCCCAATAAATATTTGCTGAGTGAATAAACTTTCTCTTCTGCACGTCCGTCCCACTCTCCAGGCTCCATCTGCAAAACTTGGCGTAGCCAGACCATTACCAGCTAAGGCAGCTGCCCCGATCTCCCCCGCTGGAGCCCTGCAGACATTAACGCCATGGTCTTAAAGCTTGCAGTTGGCCTTACACCCTTGCTCAGGCCAGCCCAGGGCCCGGGCCTCGGCTCCCTCCTGCTGCCTCCTGCAGTCTTCACCCACGACGCCCCTGGAGGCACAGAGCAGTTATGGTATTGCTTTATAGTTAATACATGAGTCTCTTAAAAGTTTAGTTCTCGGGCTTCCCTGGTGGCGCAGTAGTTAGGAGTCCACCTGCCAATGCAGGGGACACGGGTTCGAGCCCTGGTCCGGGAAGACCCCACATGCCGCAGAGCAGCTAAGCCCGTGCGCCACAACTACCGAGCCCGTGCACCACAACTATTGAAGCCTGTGCGCCACAACTACTGAGTCTGCGAGCCACAACTACTGAAGCCCGCACGCCTAGAGCCCGTGCTCCGCAACAAGAGAAGCCACTGCAGTGAGAAGCCCGCGCACCGCAACGAAGAGTAGTCCCCACTCACCACAACTAGAGAAAGCCCGCGCGCAGAAACGAAGACCCAACACAGCCAAAAATAATAAATAATTTAAAAAAAAAGTTTAGTGTGCATGAGTCCTTCCCCCAGAGGCTGATCAGCATTTGCAACAGCTAAAAAGGAATTTCTGTCTCCACCAAGCAAAGGCTGCACTATGGCTGATGGGGAGCAAAGGTTTCTACTTATATCAGTACAATCACATATTGACCATTTACTGTGAGCCACGCACTGTGTCAAGCGTTT